TGAGGGGAAGACAAGTATACACGAACTCATCTCTGTTACGTCACGGCGCGGTGGTGGCGCGTCGGTCGCATTTCCGGTCTGGGGCTGTGGGTAAAAGTCCCCATGGCAGACGTGTATTCCTGCGTTGTTTTGAAAGGAACGAGACGAAAACCTGCCTTCTCGTCAAAACGCCGCGACTGGTGCCGTACCAAAAGTGTCGAGAAAGGTTTGAAGGTGTTTTCACATGCTCTGTTCGTCCGAGAATCTGGATATGTGCCGGGAAAATGGAAAAGCAGACGCCGTCGGACAACGATTGCTTGGGTGGGAAGCACTTTGGGTTGAATTCGCGGATAGCTGTGATCATCAGATTTATTTGTTTTGTTCCAACATGAACGCCAAAAAAACCGTCAAGTTGTGCGGACCACCTGCGGACTACGTTCAGTGCGTCTTCAAGTTCAAACGGCCACCTGATCGTTCAAACTGTCGTCTGCTCTTTCAGACGTGTCTGCTTGTCGTCTGCTCTCTCAGACGACGCCGGCCCGTAGACAGAATCTTGGCCCGGTACTTACGATAAGAAGTAAGTGCACGCCTCAAAAGACCTAAATTTGAAGGTTGGTGAGCAGGCTCGATGTAAACAGTAGATACAAGGAGATGTTGATCATTGTTACCAGTGACGATCAGCGACTTGCTAGGCCTGATTCGCATGATCCGATTCTGCTGTAGATTTTCAGTATCGACGTCGACCATCTCAGCTTCGGTTCACGCTTTTGCAGCCCGAGCGACGTTGCGACTGAAAATAGCGAGCGAAATCTCATCATGCGAATCAGGCTTTAGCGTTCATTCTGCGGCGTCCACGCGGAATGAATCGCCGCATGTCACATTATTGACGCGAAGTTTTGCGGTGTAACGAGCCTCGTTAATTTCGCTGAGGCCGCTCAAGTAGTCAGACATTGCCAGGAAGACGTAGAATCAACAGTTCGAACGCGAAAAAGGGCAGGGGGACTCACACAGAGGCCGATAACATCGCATTTCAATGGTTTGTTTATGGGCGACGGCGGGCTTCTTGCCCACACCCCCATCGCGCATGCGCGGCGCCGGTGGCGTCCGCTAGAGGCCTTCCGGGCGCTCCGGTTTGTTTGTAAACATGAGTTGGTGTATAGCTAGCACGTCAATTTCTGATACATTTCTCATACACTCTAAAAAAAGCTCGTGCGTCTACTTTCCCGCACAACACTCGGAGAGCCAATCACCGTAACTTACGGAGGCAGCTCAGCGAATGACGATACCGAAACTTACGTCTAGACCAACAAACGCAGGTCGGGGTGTGACATGCAGCAATGCAAAACGTCACGCTTGCATTGCTTAATGTCACAACTCAGACTGCGTTTTAGAGCGCAGCTCTTAGGGGCCCGTTCCCGGCTTGAGCGGCGTCGCCGTCGGCGTAACCAAGGTCATCCCAAGGTCACGTGACCCCCAAGGTCACGTGACCCCTCCCAAGGTCATCTCAAGGTCACGTGACCCCACTTGACCCCCTGAAGGTCACGTGACCCCCAAGGTCACGTGACCTTGGGGGTCATCTTGGGATCACGTGACCCCTCGAGGTCACGTGACCCCTCCCAAGGTGATCGCAAGGTCACGTGACCCCCGAAGACGTGGTCTCCTCCCGAGGTCACGTGATCCGTCGAGGTCACGTGACCCCTCCCAAGGTCATCTCAAGGTCACGTGACCTTGAGGTGACCCCCATGTGACACCCAAGGTCACGTGACCCCCAGGTCACGCCTCCCCGAGGTCACGTGACCCCCCTCCCCGAAGTCACGTGACCCCCCCCCCCCGAGGTCACGTGACCCCCCCCCCCGGAGCATATTAAAGAATGAGGGGAGGAGGAGGAGGAGGAGGAGGGGTCTACCCTCCCCTCAGTACCCTTCCCTCCTCCTCCTCAAGAGCTGCGCTCCAATTCGGCGTTACAGGGAGTTGTAAACGGCTTTCACTTTTTTTGTTCAAACATATGTTTCGGCATGGTCATTCCCTGAGCTGCCTCCGTAAGTTGCGGTGATTGGCCCTCCGAGTGTTGTGCGGGAAAGTAGACGCACGGGCTTTTTTTAGAGTGTACATTTCTTACACCTTGAAAAACGTCTACTTCCTTCGCGCACAAAACGCGTTTTAGCATAACTAGATCATCACTAGCATGACCTGTCATTCACGAGACACGCGACGTTTCGTTATAATGATCTTAAAAAAACAAATCTTTGTACAGTCCGCACCGCGTCCGATTTTAACTCTTCCACACGTATAGCTCGCCGACAATAGTGCACAAAATACAGTATGTGTCCATGAAAATGTCGTCAAAGAGTGCGGGGGCAGCGATGAAAACCGGACTTTACTGCGGCGTACCGTGCGAGCGAAATGGCTCTCTTGAACATGATGGATGTCGGAGCGGTCGAGAGAGCAATTAAAGGGGCTGCCCAAAATGGCGTGGATGCCCGTACCTTTCGAGCGCAGAGGCGTACCCTTCCCCGGCACTCCCCTCCCTTTCCTCCCATTTTTTTTTTCCACCTTTTGCTCCGGGGTCGCGTGATAACGGCGCTGACTCCGTCCGCCTTCCTCGTAGGACCCTCGAGAAAACGCCCCTAGAACTCTCTTAATTGCGCCGTGAAAATGGGAACCCGAATCCCGGTTGCGCTGACCGGCTTCGTTAGATTGAGCTCAAAACTTCCGTTTTTTTTCGGAACTTTAGTTCGCGGATTATAAAAGTGTAGCGGTTGATATTTTGCGCGGTGCGGATTGTGCCTGGTGTTCGATTTTATTTCATACATATTTATACAAAAACAAAGAAACGTGAAATGTACATTAATTCGTTTTGTGCAGGTGAGTTGTACGGCCAGAGGGACATATTATGTGAAGTTATTGTTCACGTTGAGTCGGATAATTACCTAAAATATGTTGATCAACGTTTTAATTAATGAAAATAAACGTGCGATTCTATATTTGAATATTGCTGAGCGTCAACGAAACCCCCTGCACCAGTCAACTTTAAAATGGCCTGAAGCACGTAGGAAGCGCTGGGCGCACCAAAGTTACCACTCGTGTTAAAGGCACAACGCTAGCGGCGCGACAATGCGAATGAGACTCTTACCATGTGCGTGTTCGGACCACTAACTAAACAAAAACAAAACAAAATTTTTTTGTAGTATTGTAAATCTTACATTTCTATTTCTTATAAACAAAAAACAACAAAACAAAATCATTAAAAAAACAAAATAAAGAGAGGAACACGTTTATGAAACGATAAGAGCTATATAACCACGAACCTATTATTGAAATCCTCTTTTTATGTGTATCCAAAGTGGTATACAACACCGAGTGTTGGGGTTACAACTGCAAAGTGGGTCCTATATTTGGCGCCCGACCGAACCCGAGTTATGCGAGGATCATTTGGGCGCGTCGTGCAGGTCGTGTCATTTGGGTTTCTGAACGAAAGTGAGGGAAACTAAATAATTATCTAGAAAAATAGATTCTACTCAACTCGTTAACATTAGACAGGGCGCCTATACAGCGTCGAATCCTCATCGAGCGACGGAGAAACTCGGCGTCCACTGAAACGCATGCGCATCGCGGATGCTGTTCCACTTTGGCGCTGCGCCGGGGGAGAGGGCTGTCGCCAACGCATCGAAATACAGGATTGTCCAGGACAGCATGCAGACGGGCTGTATCCGCTGTCTCGAAAGCTTTTCGACGACGATAGATGGTGGCAGCCACCCCTCCCAATAGACCGATGCCACCAAGCGAACTGCGCAGGCGCGCACATTCCGGAAGTTGCGCCGTCGCCATGTTCGTTGTAGTCATCAGCCCGCTTCCTCTCCGCGTCCTGCCTGCGTTGCCGTCGGCCGTGTCTCGGTTGGCTGCATAATATCACCGTTCTGGACGCCCCGGGATCAACTTCTCTTCACCACTAGTGTCGGTCATGTAAGTATTTCATGAAATTATATTGTTTGTGATACGTTAGTTTGCCGGGAAGCTTAAAAGAGTAGTCACCGTCGACGTTCGCTGGTGTCGGTTTTACGCGTCGTAGGCTTATGGAGACTGCCACTTCTGCTCCTCGAAAAGAAAAGAAACAAAACAAGAAAACGTGAGCACTCTGCCGCACGGCTGTCTCGGTGAACTTGCAAATGAGTGAGCGGTTAGTGCGGGCAAACTGTGCGGGCATATCAATGGAGCATCGGCTCCGGAGAGCACCGCAAAACAGTCAAACGCGTCGGTGGGCTCGGACATTACCGCTGCTCAGGCTTGTGCGCCGCGATTAATCTATAGAATGAAATAAATGCAGCAACCGCTGTAAAACAAAAAGACTGGTTTTCTCGGGGTTGTTCCCGAGTACGCGGAGAAACTTTTGATTAGTTGGCGGCAGTGCCAGCTGACATATGGGTACGCCAGGCACAAGCGAGCTCTCGCCCAGAAGTCAAGCGTGCATACGAACAAGGAATGCGCTTCGCGTGTGTTAAAAAAGGAGCAACGGTATATGTCCCATATTTAAAAATGTAGGTGAAATGAGTTCGCATGCACTTATGTGTGTTTTCTGTTCTATTTGCGTGGAACCAAGCGCGAACAGTCGCCTGATAGATCTTTTCTCCTGTATCTCGGTTGCCGTTACTGAGCCTGGTTGGAGCTGTAACACCAGTCAAATAAAGTCGCAACTTAATAGGTTAAGTAAAACAAGTCCAGTGTGTGTGTGAGGCATCTTGGTACTGATTCTTTTAGTACAAGCTGCACTACAAATTACATTTTGCAATGTTTTCCTATTGTGTTTAGCAACTGATGATGTGTTTTGTTTAAGGAAGTAGGTCTCATATCAGGCCATGATTATCGAGATTCTATTAACTTTATTGTTATAGTGCCCGTTCTGATCTTCTAAAGCATAGTGATGCTTGAAACATATGCTATTGCAGTAACTAATACAGAAAGCCATGAAACTAATATTTGGGCTTAAACAATACATTTTCTTTTCAGGTCTCTTTGAAATCGGAATGGCGTGTGCAGTGGTCGATCCTAACCAGCAGGAATGGACCTCCAAGACGAAGTCCCTGAATCCGTTCTTTGGAAAAGAACAGATCTACAGGTATGTGACCCAGTGTAGAAATACCATGATTTAAGAAGCATTTAGGTGCTGTCACTGTCCGATGGAGTACTCAGATTATTTAGCACGGAATGAGCCCTCTAGTCTAAATGGAGGAAAAGTGCCTGGAGTGCCAAACTGGTGCTGCGCCGGTTGTGCTTAAAGCTGCATTTGCAATTTGCTGGTGGTCTTTCATTTTCTTGGCCGCCATGCAGCAGGGGCAGTACTGTCCTTGACTGTATTTAACCTCATGATGGCGAACCTGCCTCCCTGCCTGGCCCAGACCCTAGACCTCGGCTTTACCGTCTACGCTGATGACATCGTGGTCTAGACCAGAGGGGGAAACCATTGCTTGTTAGGAAGAGACTCTGCAAAAAGCCCTTGCCGTCATTGTTGATTACCTAGACTCTGTTGGCCTCACAGTGCTGCCAGAGGAGACCCAATACGTCGTGAGCTTATGCATGGGCCTGTGCCCCGATTCACACAAACAAGTCACGAAGGTGACATTTCTATGGGTCGTGCAATGAATTTCTTACCTTCGCTAAATACTACTCGGAACGAGTCCTTGACGTGAATTGCCCACAATACGGACAGTAGTTTCCCTCTCCAAGCAACGACAGTCGCAGAAAAACTACAGCGTTTTCTGCGACTGCGATCCTGACACCTGCGCCACGTGCATCATCAAGTGTAATCTTCAGGTAGCTACTGGTGAATCGCCTGGCAGCATCTTGTGTAGTTAAGTTTCGTTGCTGGCGTAGGTGCCGGCTATCTCACATAACTACAAAATATTTTTATGTAGAAAGCTTTTTCACATGCTGGCGGTATCTTGAATCACTTCAATCTGAACACTTCTACATGTTGTGCTGTTAAAATATAAAAAAAAAAATTCATGCAATATGTTGATTGCAATATTTATTATGCAGGTACATGGAAACCAAAGGAGCCACAAAGCACCGAGAGGCTGGCCTGCGACTGTTTTCTTCAGGCCACCTGCAGAAGCTGGAGTTTTCTACGCGGGAGGCTGAGGACACCATTGTACGTGCTCAAGTTTTGGCATCTATGTCAATAAGAACTTCGTACAAAGTCAATGCTGCACTGGCTAAGTGTGATGGGGAGATCATTACTGGCCACTGCTCATGTGTTGCAGGAAAGGGTTCCGTCTGCAAGCACCTTTGTTGCGTTTTTTACGGGCTAATGTACATCGCACAGCATGACCTCAGTGTTGTACCAGGTGTTGTTGCATGCACCGAGACGGAAAGGCAATGGTACAAGCCAAGAGACCCCAGAAAAGTTAGCGAACAGTTTGGCACTGTGGTCTTTTGTAAAGACACTTGTGAGAGAATGAGCAGTGCTCCAAAGCACCATGAGAAGCGAGTGGCATATTCGTCACTTAAGGGTGACAGACTAAATCTGCAGCCATTGGACCTCATTCACCTGCACGGCAAACTGTACGAGAGCGGCCTTCACTGCTTTGCGGACGTGCTCGAGGCTAATGACTTTGTACCTAACAAAGTGAAAGAAAGTGACAGTGAAGCCACGGAAAAGCTACCACCGCGGTGGTTGGATCAAGTAGAGAAGCAGCTAGGTCTAACTGCCTACACGCCAGAAGAAATAGCGGCTGTGGAGGAGGGCACAAGGCTGCAAAGCTTGTGTCCTCTGTGGCATCACTATAGAGAAGGCATCATCACTGCCTCACTTGCGAATAGAGTGTACACGTGGGTGCACACTTGTCGAACAAAAGTGGGACCCCACGATCCTCGGTCTCTCTCGAATGCTGTGTTGGGCAAAACGAAATGTCGCGCAACAAATGACATGAAGAGAGGTCTCTTGCTCGAACCTGAGGCTAGAACACTGTTTCAAGAGAAAAACGCTAGCCATGTAGATCTTGACGTGAAGGAGAGTGGTCTCTTCTTGTCGCAGAGCCACCCTTTTCTGGGTGCAAGCCCAGACGGGATAGTCTCGTGCAGCTGCTGCGAGAAGCGGCTCATTGAGATCAAATGTCCGCGGAGCTTGGCAACATTTTCTAAGTCTGAACTGCATGATGGACGCCTTAAACCCACTAGCAAACATTATGCACAGGTGCAGATGCAAATGGGCGTGACGGGACGGAAGTTGTGCATCCTCTTTGTGTACTGCAGCAAAGACGACTACCGGCAGGTTTCAGTTCCTTTCGATGAGAAATATTTCCATGAGCTGGTTGAGCGTTGTACGTTTTTCTACGACACATACTTTCTGCCTTGTTTTAGATGTTAGGACATTTTATTGCAAAACATACTCATCTGAAAAGCTATTTGTTTCTGTGGTTAACTAAATTTGGAACTGCTGGTGTCCGATGCATATTTAGCAAATTTCTTTTTAAAGAAACGTATTAAAAAAAATTGTCTAAGTGTTCTAACATGGTGCTTGGTATAACATGTGTTTTGTTTAAGATAGACTACTCGTTTGCGGTTTATTCCTTATATTTTTGTGCCAGCAAATCGCCTCAGATCTTCAGTGTACTTATTTAGCTTTTGAATGTATTTGTTTAGTGTGCCATATGATTTGCAGAGGTAAATAAACACTTTGCCATATCCTTTTTCTTCTTTGTTTCATTGTGGCCGGATGCCTAACTAAAACACTTTGCACGTGACAACTCAAGTGAATTCTAGATTGCTGTACACGAATACAGTTTTGCGAGGTCCTAATTTTTACGAATAGAAAAGTAGGTCCAGCAAACAATTCAGGCAATATGTGAACACTACAGAAGCTACATTCGATTCTCAAAAATTAAGTCGTTTACACTATAATGTGGTACACAAAAGATTCTCAAATAAATATAACAGTACTAAAAGGCTGCCGTGGTATTAAGAGGGGGGGGGGGATGCTATGTGAGCAGCCTTAGTAGGAAAGCATAAGCTGACACATGGCTACAAGTCTCTGCATACAAGGTGTCCACAAGAAGCAATTGCTCAGTAAATGGCACTTATTAGCTGAAACATTAAATTGAATTAGCACTTTTAGCCTATAAATCAGTGTTGCTGTGAACACTGCAGCTGAAATGAAGCCTTAGGGAAACATTTGTCTCGTCCCAACATCAGACAATGAAAAGCCGAGAATGATTGTGTATGCACGCCAAGCATTCAGTGATGTGTAATAAATAGTCTTTCAACACGATAAGCAACAATCTTATTGCTTATCATGTAGGCAAGCATAAAGATATCCCTCTCCCAGAGCAATCTTTTTATTGCACACAAGGTACTTGCTTGTGTACACAATCGCACATGGTCACCATCTCGCCGCAAGACATGAACTCCTCAGATCCAACGCATTTCAAATGGCTGTTAGTAAAACGAGAGTCCTCCCAACCTTTCGACTAGAAACTCGTGCCACAGAAAAGGGGCCAACGGTGTTCAGTACTTAAAAAAGAAATAGTTTGGTATTATCTTTTGAGCTTCACAGTAGAACGTTTCTAGCTCTGTGTTCTCATGTGCTCCTTTTTCTGGCCTGCTATGTGATATGCAGTTGGTGAAACTGTTGAATCCAGCATTACTTCATAGTTATTTTAGCAGTGCCAATGCAACGGACTACCTACAACAAGGGCTCATCAACAAAGTTTGTCAAAAGAGCACAAACGTGCCACACCTTGTTGAGCTGCTCAGACATGCTGTTTGGAAAAATCTGCGAGAGGATTCTGAAATTTTTTACCCTTCTGATAACTCTCTCGACGTGTATACGGACGCTTGCAATGTGCCTTGTTTCCTGCTCATCCTCTTCCGAGAGCTGGGGTCGCCCTTCCATAAATGGCGGAATATTCAGGTGGAGTGAGCGCTGCTTGCATTCCTCCGATATTGTGAAGCCCCTGTCCGCCATGACGCTGCGTCCAGGGGTGAACTTGTCCAATACACCGCAAGCCTTCGTAAGTGCCTTGTCGGACAGCCTGCCAGGTGCAAGGTCCGACACAAAGGTGACGAACCCGTTAGGGCTACAGACAATCAATCCCTTTGCAGTATTGTGTTTCTTGTATGTCGAGTATGTTTCACTCTGCACTCGAAATGAAGATGGAGTCTCTATGTAGATCTCGGTGCAATCCAGGATCCCATCCACGGTGTTATACCCTTTGTCTGCAAAGGCTTGTGGCCTGTATTTATCACACAGGTGAGGGGGCAGCCATGTTGGCACCTGCATAAAATGATTTGAAGACTGTAGAAGTAATTTCTGGGCTTTTCTTTCTCTATGTGGGAAAAACAATAATCCAGTGTTTGAAAGCAGATTGCCAAGCTTGTTGAGCTTGATATTTCTTAATTTTTCTAGAAGACAGGAGTTGAGAAAAGCATCCAAGCAGGCAATGTCGGCGTACATACCTGGCGAAGCCTGTTGTCCAGGAAGTCCAGCCAAGTGACCCAAATTCGGGACACCGTACTTTGCGACACACCAAACCTGTTAAAAATATTTTTATGGTATTGTTTTTAAGCATGAGTCACTGCCAACCTACATTTTAAAAGCGTGCACACTTGTAAACAGGCAAGTTCAGATATTTCTATGCATGATCTTCTTGCCACCGACACTGCAACGGTAGCATTAATAACAGTCGGCAGAGATTTTACTACCTATTAAACCAAAATGCAAAGATAGGAATGTTTGTTTAGTTGAATAAGGAGTCGTTCGGATCTATCTTGCATAGCCCAGCAGCACTGGCACTTAAATTAAGGCAACATTATCTGACTCGCTGAGTCGAGAATATAATTACTTGCTACACTTTTATTTACTCTGTAGAAAGCATTGTGCACAGATTATAAATCGAGAATCGTCTATGTATATCGAGACCAAATATTATACAGATTTTTCACATGCCATTCCACATTTTGAATGCTCACATTTAACATTTTTACGGTCATACGTTAACCAACATGTCTGTCGCAGCCAATAAAAGGATATCGGTTTTCAAAGGAGATGGCCCACCTGAAAGCAAGGTCTGCTCCGTCAAGCCCCAATCGAAGACGAAGGAGTATTAAAATCAGCTGAGTCTTCAGAGGCAGAATAAATCTGCGGTCCTCGTTTTCAGTTTCTTTCATTTGCCAAAACTGCAATCTTTTAGCATCTGGCTCCAGAAGGGACCAAAACACGTCTAAGCGTTCAGGTGACGTGAAGCCTGTGTAGTACCTCAGTTTCTTGTGGTCCTGTTTGATGGCTTCGTAACGAAACTCTGTCGTTCCCTTAGCTTCCGCTTCCTTCATCCGCCTGTACGTGGCCGAGAGATCAAGCTTAAGCGACCTGTTTTTTTGTTTTACTCGGTCGCACAGCTTCATTGAGTCAACTTGTTCTTGGCGGCTCTTGTCAAGCTGCCTTTTCAGTGATATCACTTGAGCTTGTACCTTTTTAACTTCCTCCTCTAAGCTTCCAATCACATCCTTCAGGCTAGAGATCTTCCTGAGGAGCTCGGTCTCACTCTTGTTATGAATACTGTAGGAGTGATCTGACAGTGGGTTGAGCTCTGGCAGTGTTTCGTCATCTACGGTGCTGCAGCAGGCGGTGCCAGGGTCGACGTCATCTGCAGCTCCTGTGGTGGTCTCCTGCTGGGCCGCTGGCATACTTGAGCCGTTGAGTGTAGTGGGCTGATTAGAGCACAAATAAAAACAAAAGAACAATAAATTTAATGCCTCTAATGTTCCTGCATACCTGCAGCTCAGATGTTCATATTGTTTCAGATGTAAAGAGACTTGTATCCTCTAATATTTTAATTATTTGACGTAAATCATTGAGTTTGTTTAGTCACGCCAAAGAGTTCTCCATGTGCGAGTTAAACTTTTCAGCACTGTTGAATGCTTTCTATGCTCCTGGCTGGTATGCTATATTTGCCAACCTAAAAGCTGCTGCATAAAATGGCAAGCCTCCTTTAAGAAAAAGAGAGACACCAAGGAAGCTTTTTTTGCTAGGCTACGCTTGGCCTGGACACCATACCTTTATTCGTGTTAAGGGACGCCTTGTCACCACCTTCTTTTGTTGGAGGGGGAAGATGGTCGGCACCCGCACCATGTAAGTCTTTTTCCCTCCTTGGAAATGTGCCCCACACACTCTGTGGCCCGTGGTTGGCACAAACTTTGAAAACCTGGGAGAAAAAAAATGGTCATATGCTGCAAAGCACATGGGCCCTTTAGAGCAACCTGACGTTTTTGAAGGAGTATTCAATCACTGTCTATTCAGGAACACCAAAATGGGCTAGTACATAGCAAGCTCAAGTGTATCTCTCGCAACGTTACCTTAAATGTTCATTTCACATAACAGTCCAAAACCTTCACAAACTATCGAGATTATGCGTTGTTTTGGTTTTATTAGCGGCAAACATCTAGAGACAAGCTTGGCTCTGTCTCCCCTGCTCAGCTGGTAAGTTAACGGTTACATGGCCAATGCTTGATGCATGATAAAATTCAAAACAAACCATGTCAGCACGACTTTATCGTCACTTTCTGCACCATTAACTACTCTTGCGCTCGTTGCTCTGAGTTACGTTTTGGAGCGGAAAGCGTGATACATTCGACAGATTCTGTCCACGAAACGTTTACGATTTGGTTCATGCGTCGCGACAGCTGAAATAGGGACAAACCACAGGGGGTCCGTTAGTTGGCAATTTTAAAAGAGACGGCGCAAAAAAAAAAAAAAAGAAAGAAAGAAAATTGCTTGCACGAACAGAGTCCTCTGTTTGTGTACCTTGTCGCTTAGTCCGTTCGTCTTACCTAAACGTCCAACATCATAAACGGGACCGCAGAAATACACCGGGCAAACAAAGAGAGCACTGAAAGCGACCGCCGGAAAGGAGCGCCGACATCACGATTGAGATAGGCCGATACGTCGCGCCTCCGCTGCAAGTGCGCGGAGCGTCAAACAGATCCCAAACACAAAGAGCATGTCAGCGCGTCCTTCTCTACACCCTTCATGCCTTGTACCTTGGAAGCTTATGCTTTTTTGTCAACGTGCGATGGGTTAAATGCAGACGAAGGAAAGCTGTCTTACCTTCCGCTCTGTCCAGCTCTGTTGAGTCCTCGTAACCACGTCTCACGCAGGCTTTTTTCCTTTGGGAACACGTAAAACCCGATGCCTTTTTGCCGGGTACTATTGTTATTGCACCCTGGCACACAACAGGTGAAGCCACCCATTGGGCACAGTGAATGAGCACCGGTTAGAACAACTACGTCGCGTTCAAAGAGCGCACCGAGGCTGCCGAGGCGGTCGAAAAACTCCCGAGAACTACAGGTCCCAGAATTCACCGCGGCAGCGGTGGCGTAGTGCAACTCACGGTGAGATCGGTCTATTCAAACAGGAGAAAATCTCCGAGGATGCGCGCGTCCAGCCGTTCAAAACTATAGTCACCGAGAGGCTAAGGACGAGAAAAACTTGGGCTGGAGAGGAGGGAGCAGGTGCAACGATAGACAGTACTGACCGGAATTCTCTTCGTACTCAGTTAGCCGCTTCCTCCCAATTCATGACCGCATAGGTCCTCAGTGCTACATTTTCTTCTGTTGCTGCTGGCTTTTTATGCTCTTTATAAAAGTTCTTTATTTGTACTTCCTGCCGAAAGTATTACTGGTACACTGTTAGCGAAAATGTAATATTTCGCCTGTTTACACCCCATTTTCACTCGTTAGCATATTTTTACACGCTCTGCTAGTGATAAATCGTCAAAACATTACTTAGGGTAGTAAAAATTGGTGTTTCGGTTTCGGTTTACACGACTAGGCGTGTAAGCAACACTGAAAACACCCCAGCCCAACACAAGGGCTATGTTCCAAATCTTACCCGAGTAACCTGCCTCCTACGTCAGCGGGTAATACCACGTGACATCGCGAGTAAACGATCCGCGACTCGATCTTGGAACTAGGGGTGTCGCGAACTTTTGTCGAACCAGATTTTTTGGTCGAACTTTCGGGGTTCGACTGGGTCGAACCGGTTCGACGAACCTTCGAACTTTTCGCCAGATTCGACCGGTTCGACTTTGTGGACAGTGTGGCCAGCCCTTGATACAAGCATGTCTAGGTTTGGAGAATTTTTTTTTTAATGCAAAGGGTTATTTTATTTTGTGAACGGCTGCAATTAAAAGAAACTAAATCTAATCACTGAAGAAGTTAATAACTTAATTTTTAGTACTGTATTAACTGAAATAGCCAATCAGCGGTGCACTTAGTTCATCTTTTAGCCATTACCATCCAATCCGAAGCCAACGAGTCAGCCTGACGCGCATGCGCACACGTGTCGAACCTCGATACAAGGTTCGTCGAATTTTCCACTAAAAGTTCGAAAAAGTCGAACCTGGTCGAACTCGAACCGCGGCCGGTTCGCGACACCCCTACTTGGAACGACCAGGATAATCACCTGGATACTACGCGGATTGGCTTCGTCTTGGGTGACGGCAAAAAGAAAACACAGCAGCGATGGCAGAAAATAGCAGACGATCCCTTTGACCATGGCGAAAGCACCCGAAGAACGGTAATGTTAATGACGACGCGGTGTTTTTTGAGGTGGATCCACCAGCTCCTTTTACTCACCTTCGTTTTGAGCTGTATATTGAGATCAAAATTACTTACTCCTTACAGCTAGACATAAAAAAAAAAAGTGTTTTTATTAATCAGCGCGATCGCTGCAATTCTAGTCACGGTGCCCTAAACGCATATATTCCACGCATTGTAATTTGCACCGATTATGTTTTGCAGAAATATATTCCACACGGTGCAGCGGTACAGCGCGAGGGTGCTTTCTCCAGAATGATATGAAACTCACGTTCGCTTTGACGCGAATGTGATTACAGTGAAATTTTCGAAGCCTTCGCTGCTTTACAAACGTTATCCTCTCATTACACACACTCTGGATGAAACAAAAATACTACATTATTATATACCGAGTTCAAATATTTTCGGCCTTGAACGTGAGAATACGGCATTCCCCCAACGCCGAGGACGAGGATGCGGAGAAGCTCCTGTTTACGCTCGCACTCGGGTAATAACAAGCACACCTTCCCGGGGAAGGTGGACGGTCTGGATGTAATGCAGTCAATTCCTGCGTTGACAACAGCAAATCGCAATAACCACACATGCTGCACTTAATTCTTTGTCATTTCGAACGTCCGCCACCAGAACCAACGGAGCAAGCGAGCTTTGACGGCTGTCGGCGCAGAAAGCAGACGACGAACAGATCACGTGACGTATTTACTCGATTTGATCCGACTTTACCCCCCGATCGAGGAGGGTAGCGCGAGTAATTACTCCGGAGTAAACAACCCGCTTCAGGAACGGGAGTTCTGACGTCATCGAGTAAGCTCGAGTAAGTTTTGGAACGCCACGGTACGAAACTTTTACTCCGGAGTCGGATCGAGTAAATTTTGGAACACAGCCCAAAACTGCCAAAACGTCGAGCTGGTCGAGCGCCATGTTGCTTTTGCCTTGAAGCGGTACGGCGGACGTAGCAGCCGAAGGTGAGTGTTTGATTTTTTTTTACCAAGTTTGTATAGAATGTAGCACGTCTCAGATTTTTATTACATGACATTCAAGAACGTTAGATTTGCTTTGAGCAAGCCGGCTCAGGCGTTAAGCCCGATTCACACAACCGGCGTTTAGCCACCCGTCGATTGGAAACGACTCGACTGCTCGCCGGTTCTTTTGCGCGAGCTTTCGCTCGGGCGCTGTGAACCCTATGAACTGTGGTGCTCAAAGCTAGCACAATTAGGCACGGCTAGCGTCCCGGTGGAAGCTGCAGAGAGCGGAAACCGAAGACACCGTCACATAAGAGTGGCGAAGCCGCGATCCTGCGCTGATCGTTGTCCCGCCGCTCTCTCCGGCAATATCGACACTTCGCTGCTGGGTGTCTCGTATTTCGACGTTTTAGAGAAACTTGGCATTGGCAAGCGCGAGGAGTCTCTATATCGTTTTCTCCGTCGCCTGCGTGGAGGGAACACGGTGGCGATAGAAACATATGCTCATGCAGTCAGTCAACTTGGACAATCCCCCTGTTCCCTCAATCCTATCGCATTCTTTGACTGCGTTTGTGACAACAACGTTTCCCCAGTGTGAAAGCTTTCAGTCACAACGGGCTACAAACTGGGTTGTGCATTGCATGTAGCCCTGAGGGAATTCTTCGCCGGAGACACCAGCACATTAGTTTCATTGGTAAGGTGACCGGCCACTAACGTGTTTGGCAAATGAAGCGATCATGGGTAAGTAGAAATGCAAACAATGTTGAATGAGTATTAAGGTGGTTGTAGCCAGAGCCTGCCAGTTGAAATCAACCTTTAACAATATAGTCTGCGGTAACTTCTTTTTGCACTTAGGATTGCAATTTTAAACACAAAGCCACTCCACATAGCTGTCGAAAATCGTGTAAACAACAGCAGTCATCGTCCCCGGTTCGGATGAGCGAAGCCTTAGCTTGATGTAAAGAATGGCGGTCTATACTTCTTGGTTGTTTCAATCACAACCTCGCACAGCTGAACAGACAAACAAATCAAGGAAATATATCCTGCGCTGGCTTGCAAATTACAGCACACAAGCAGGGTACATAGCAGAGCAGAAAACACTCGCAATGAGCACACGGAGGCATGCAGCTT